ACTAGACTGACCCTATTGGTGAACTTTAGTGTTCACCACCTTTGCAGACATTTATTTTTTTATCTTAATTCTTGTCCGACCTCTGATGTACCAATCAGGCGGTTCAACTTTCAATAAAGACTTCTTTGATTTAAGAATCAAAGCGTTCAATTCCCGGAAGCCTACTGTTATCACTGGTGACGGATTGAACTGTTTGAAAGGAGAGAAGATTCCTCAAAGCGACCCCTGTCGGGTTGAGCTGACATCACTCGACGCCACTTTATCACTGAGGTGTAGAACGTGCTGATGGATTATTAAGAAAATAAACCGTCGATTTAAGTGGAGAAAAGAGTTAGAATCGGGATCGAAAAAAACGATCTGTAAAGTTGAGTCAATACGTTAACTCATCCACGAGTTTTCAGTGGTAATCAATTGCTCCTTTTTTTTTTAATATTATTTTAAAATCTCCAAGAAAAGAAAACTTTCCGTCTAGACCAACCTCGATGACAGGTTGATTGTCGACAGTACACAATTTTTGTGATAAAATCCTGTCACTTGAGTCCAACGCGTTACGCCCTGTTCCTGATCTTTTTCATAGTTCGTTGTCAATGGTTGGCACTTGGTGAATGAAATAAATGAATTATTCGTCTAGTTACTCGTGACGTTAGTGAATTAATGTGACGTCTCTGATGTGATAAGAAAAACAAAACTAAACAGAAAACATATTTATCATCAGGACCTTTTTCTAAAACGATGTAATTTAACTCAAACCAGAAATACGATGTTAAAATTAAGAAAACAACACAAGGTCAGTTTAACGAAGAATATGCACTGTTTTTAAAGAACGAATGTCACTTTCTAGGAAGTATAGAAATAGCTCATTTAAACCGGAACTTCCATCTTAAACACCTTCCGTATAAGGAAGTTCATTCTGATGAAACATCTGTTCATAGTCATAACTTTAATCAAGTTTTCTTTACACCAAGTACAGAAATTTAAATACAAACAAATCAGTAATTTACCATTCGAGACGTTTTTCAATGGATTTTTTTTCCTAGCAGACATACAGAGCTTTTTTTTATATATTACAATACATTAGGCTTAGCCAGTTAACACAAACAGCCTAATTGTTGTATTATTTATAATTACTAAATTATTTTAATTTATTACTTTAAAGTTATGGCATAGTTTGACTCGCAGGTTAAGTATAGGCCTCGTGATTTTCAGATTCATGGTACTCACTAGCTGAAGCCAACTTCACCAGACAATTGTTAAAATTTCAATATTTCCCTTTCAACTTTGTGACGTAGACTATATCCAAAACGTAAATGACCAAATGGATTATTTATGTATATTATAGCTCAATTCAAACTCTAATAAAATAGACACAAAATGTTGATTTTAAAAACCATTAAAACCTCGAAATTTAGTTGAACTCCTTTCTATAATAAAACAAAATAATAAGGCCCGGCATGGCCAGGTGGTTAGGACGCTCGACTCGCAATCTG